AGCCCAAATGAGAGCTTATGGGTGAGGGGTGATATAACTACTCAGGCCTGGAATCAAGACCAACTGGGTCCCAAATCCAGTCCGCTAGTTGCTACCTGTGTGAGCTAGAGCAAATTAATTACTTCTCAGAGCCTCAGTCTCCTCATCTATAAAATAGGGAAAGTGGGGCTGGGCACCGTGGCTAATGCCTGTCATTCCAGCACTTTGGGAGGCCGAGGTGGGTGGATCATGTGAGGTCAGGAGTTCGAGACTAGCCTGGTCAACAGGAGGAAACCCTGTCTTTACTAAAAGTACATAAATTAGTTGGGTATGGTGGCAACGCGCCTGTAATCCCAGCTACTAGGTGGGTGCTGAGGCAGGAGAATTGCTTGAACCTGGGAGGTGGAAGTTGCAATGAGCCTAGATGAAGCCACTGCACTTCAGCCTGGGCAACAGTGAGACTCTGTCTCAAAAAATATAAATGAATGAATGAATGAATGAAAGAAAAGTGGTACCCACTGCATAGTGTTATGAAGATTAGATAGGTTAATGCTTTTGAAACACATGCTCAGCACCTGGTACACAGTAAGTGCTCAGTAAATTACTAGTGTTATTCTTTAAGAGGGCCTAAACTAATACAGAAGCAGCAAGAATCTACCTTCCTTTCAGACTGCCCATGCCCAACTAATTTCCCTTCTAACTTTGCCCTCCTCTTTTCTATGTCTTGTTATTTTTAGTTTCTCAACTTGAATACACAAGCCTTAATTCCCTGACATCTTCCTCTGGTTAGACAGCTCTGATGTCTACTTCTTGAGTCTGAGGATGGTCTGCATGATGCCAGCTTTGCCTGAGCTAGGGCCAGGGGACAAGTAAAGCAGGTTGAAGATTTGGTTAAGGTCTGGGGCAGGGTGAGAAATTGTAGAAGGCTGGCTTCTGGTAAGGGCTTTCTGGTCCCAAAAGAGTAGAGCTTATGGAGTCAGAATGACTATTAGACCCTCCAGCTGAGAGAGGATGTGTGTACTTATACAAATGTGTCTGAGTGTGTATGTTTTAACATTACTTTTTAGATGTTGGGCTAGATGCGGTGGCTTATGCCTGTAATCCCAGCACTTTGGGAGGCCAAGACGGGCGGATCACCTGAAGTTGAGAGTTTGACACCAGCCTGACCAACATGGAGAAACCCCGTCTCTACTAAAAATACAAAATTAGCTGGGTATGGTGGCACATGCCTGTAATCCTAGCTACTTGGGAGGCTGAGACAGGAGAATCACTTGAACCTGGGAGGTGGAGGTTGTGGTGAGCCGAGAGGGCGCCATTGCACTGCAGCCTAGGCAACAGGATGGAAACTCCATCTCAAAAAAAAAAAAAAATTTAGTTGTTGGTACTTCTCATCTCTTACCTGGTTGTGGTGCTTAGGAGGGACTTCTCACTCCACTAATAATGTATGCCTGTGTCATGTGTCATTCAGGTTTGAGCCTTTGGTATTTGGGAATTCTTCCTTTAGGAAGCAGAGGAACCAACTTCACAGCCCACACAACTAGCTTTCCCAGCTATGATGGTTTTGGGCTCTGGAAGGCCCTCTCATTTCAGTTCCACAAATTTGTCTTGAGTGTCTCCTCTGGGCCAGGCACTGTGCTAGGTACTGCAGTACCCAAGAGCCTCTAAAGGGTTCTGATCTCAAAGGGAAGATGGGAAGATAAACCAAAAATGCCATTTGTCCCATGAGTATGGAAGGGACTCGGAGGATGGTCAGCCTCTGTGGGGAGCCACCAGTTCTTGCCTCTGCCTGCTGAGCACAAATTTGCTGTCCTTGTCCCTGGAATACCCCTGAGGGAAGAGATGGGACTGAGGGCAAAAGCCATTTGAATTTTCTTTCTATTCTGAGCAGAGCTGGCTTTTCATCACTTTTAAACCCCAAACTGAAGCTACAGCAAAGACCTTTAGTGGAGAAAATTCACTGAGTAATCCCTTGGGAGGACTGTGGAGGGAATGATGCATGTTTTCATTTCCTCAACCTCCAAGTATTTATTGAGAGCCTTTGTCATGTCTAGCACGGGAGCCAGCACTGTGAAGGATGTGGCGAGAATCTGGTTGAAGACGTCTGGCGGATTCAAATTGAACAGGTTATCAGAGCACAGCATTTTGTTTGGGTTAGAGAACTGAGGGCAGTGAGGCTGCCTGTGATGCACAGATCCCATCCCACCAGCCCCTTTTCAAAGCACTTCATCCCATGAGTCTCGAGGGAGGAGTCTGAATATGGGGGTAACAGATCCTGTGTTTAGCCATAGCATTGTAAGTCCATTCGTGGAAGATTGGCCTTTGCTTTATATTCACTGTCTGCACAATGAGAATAATAATTTCTATCTTGTGGCCTCCTTGTGGGATGTGACACACTCTGGGTGTTGGAGAGTAGTGAATTCCTTTTCTTCCTCGCTCCCTGTGTCCGTTGTACCCTGAGATTGCACGTGGGCACACCCTGTCTCGTCTTCTGACTTTGAGTGTGGCTCATCTGTAGCTTTTGCCTCATCCTTCCTAATGACCATGGGAATAAGGGAGGGGGTAGGGGCAAGAATGGCTGCAGGTAGTGGGGAATAGTTCAAGGTGTACAGGACTGTGTCTGCAGCCAGCCTGACCCCCAGGAATCCTGGGCAGGCCCCGTGGTTTGGGTATGAGTCCTGATGAATGTTTGCTCAAGATTTGCTTGAGTGTTCAGATGGTTTTTTACTGAGTATTAAATTTGATTAAACTCTTACGTCCTCCTCAGTGCCAGGAAGACACTCTACTTTCTCTCCCTCTTTGCCTCCTTGATTCACAGTAGTTAGGGGAGGGAAAAGGGCAGCATTTAGAAAGAAACACTTATAGATGTCACACCCAAGCAGTTAAGAAAGCCCTTCACAGGAGGCTGGGCACCAGTGGTTCATGCCTGTAGTCCTAGCACTTTGGGAGGCTGAGGCAGGTAGATCATTTGAGCCCAGGAATTCAAGACCAGCCTGGACAACATAGTGAGATCCCTGTCTCTATTTAAAAAAAAAAAAAAAAAAAAAAGGCCGTTTACAGGGTATGAAGGTGAGTGAGGGGCACTCCTGGTGGCAGATGATCCGGGACAGATGTGGGTGGACCAGAATAGAGGAGGATAGGAGTCCTTGGGAAGGGGGTTTGCATTCCCACCCACCCTCCTCCCTGCCACTCCCACAGCTCTAACCTCCCAGCAGGATTAAAGTTCCAGGTTGCTCCCCTCTCTCTCTATTGATTTACCTTGATGCTATCACCTTGATGCTAATTTAGGCCTGTGGCCAGTCAGAGGCCTGCTATCGGCCTTCTTAAGAGATGCCTGTGTCTGTGCTGGTGCCCTTCACCTGGCCCCCACTCCTCAGGTCTGGAGAGTCCAATTGCCTGCTCGAATGATTTCCAAGTGGCAATTATGTTTCCAGCCCAAGGTAATTGACTTTACTAGTTATTAAGGGATTACCCTAAAGAGAAAAATGTTGGAGGAGGGAGGTGAGAGCAACACCTCCTAACTTTGTAGTTTGGTTCTTCAGTATCCACTGGCTGCTTCCCAGGCTGGCAGTCACTTGGGGCATGGTAGGAGTGGCTGTTTGGCATGACCACTCTATAGTTTAGTGGCTCCTGGCAGCCTTGAAGAAGCTAGGATGATGGGGCATGTCCCTGGAGGAAGTCTTGGCTGGAGTCATAAAAGGCCCAGGATTGCTTATATGGCCTTTTTATCAGCCTAGGGTTAGAGCAAACACCTGCCCTACAATTTTGATTGTAAGTCAGTGGTTTGGCCAGTGCCTGCCTAACATCTGCCCATCAGCAACTGGCAGGCCAACCTCCCTACCCCAGCCAAAGCCACTGGCTTCTCCAGGGCCCTCTCTGTGGAAATCCATCTCCTCACTGACATGCTTGCGATCAGAGAGCCACAGGTGCTGGGCCGGGCCACAGTGGATGGTCTGTTTCCCTCACATTGCTAATGTGTTATTAGTATGCCCGGTCTTCCTTCTCCCCATGAATGACATGTAGGGACATGGCCCATTCCTGCCCCAGGGCTCCTGAGTAACACCACTCCTTTCAACTCTCTTGCTTGCTGTTTAAGTTTTCAAGCCCAGGTTTCCTGAAGGCTTCCCCTCTATACCCTACCAAATCCTCTAACAAGAGTTGTCTGGCTCACAGGTTCAAGTTCTAGGCCAGTACAACAGCCAATCTGGCCACTGCATGGATCCCATACACCAGGCTTGTGCCTCCGTTTAAAGTGAGACTCTGCAGATTGTATATGTTGAGTTTTTTAGGGCTCTAAGGGACACTCTGGGCAGCAGGGTCAGCCTGCTACATCTCATGTGCCTCTTGGCATTGTTACTGGCCTCAGAGGACTCTGCTGGACTCCCATCATGCTCTGCAGAAGCTGCCTGGCTCCTCTCATTCCCCCCTCTGCCCCACCTATGGACTAGCATATACCTATCCATGGGATTCACTCACCTTTCATATTTTTCCTTTTCTCATTTTGGTAGGCTTATATCTGCCCTGTGCCTGTACCACATTACCAGATTCCCCCAACTCTTAGAACCTTCAGGAATGCCCCCCAGCCGCCCCTACTTCTGACCAGGGCATGACCTTCCAGCCCCAGCAGCCTGTTCCTTGGACCCCTATTCTGTGCCCTGCTGTTGTGCTCTTGGGGTTCCTACAACTGGAGTCCGACAGGCTCGCTCTCCCTTGGGCTCAGACTTGTTGTATCTACAGATCTGTTTTTATGGTGTGCAGAGACCACTCAGCCCAGTCTGTGCAGCAGGCCCAGCTGTGGCTGAGCCTGTGGGTCTTCTGGCTAGGCAGCTTTTGGGGGCCACACCCTCACAAGTCTTCCAAGATGTCTTCCCACAGCTCCTCTGATGGTTCCCTTGGCCACTTCTCTCATTCTGGCTTAACCCCACAGTCCCTTGGGGAATAAGCACAGCATTTCCAGTTGTTAGCCATTTCTACTGCAGGTTCTGACAAGCCAGATCTGACTCTGCTTTCCTTTTGTTTGGCAGCTCTTTTGTGACAGGGACGGCTTGTTGCGGTCACTTCTCACCCCTGAGAATCTGGGACCTCAACAGGTAAGAGATTCCTGAGCCGACCCTGGCTTCTAGCCCAGGAGGCAAAGGAAAGCTTGCTGAGCCAGCTTCTGCCTCGATTGGCTGAGTGGTCCAGGAGGAGGCTGGGAAGTGGTCTAGTGCTGTGGCGCCTTCTCACATGGAATCATTCGGAGGAGACTGTTGAAGTAATTTATAATAGGTAAATTGTTTCATGTAGAATTTGTGATAACAATAACCATTTGGATTTATGATACTCTTTCTCTGAGGAGTACCTATGTGGCTATATAAAATCCCATCTATCCCCAGAGATGATTTTGCTAAAATAAAGAAATTTTGAAGGTGGCCTACAGACCTATAAAAAGAATTATACAGAACAGTTAAAATACATGCTGGTTTTATTCACAATTCTCTGCCTTGGCAGGCTTTACATATTCCCATCTGATTATCTACCATTCTGGGTTTTTGTTTTTTTTTTAACTTTTAAATTTTGAAATAATTATAGATTCATAGGAAGTTACAAAAATAAGATGGAAAGGTGTTTGTGTAACATCTTACATAATATATAACATAATATAATATAATAATATAAATCAAACCAGGAAGTAGACCCTGGTACCATCCATGGACCTTTATTCAGATTGCAGTGTGTGTGTGTGTGTGTGTATAGTCCTATGCAGTTTTATCACATGTAGATTCAGATCATCACCACAATTGAGGTACTAAACTCTGTTCCATCAGCACGAAGATTCCTCATATACCCTTGGTAGTCACACCCATCCTTATCCTCTCCTCTCCTTTCCCAAGTCCTCTGAGGCCAGCAGGCCAGGCTGGCTGTAGTACTGGCCTTAGTTCCTGGCAACTTCTTATGTGTGTGCCATCTCTATAATTTTGTCATTTTGAAAATGTTATATAAATGGAATCATACTGTTTGAGACTGGCTTTTTAAAAACTCAGTATAATTCCCTTGAGACCCATAGATTGTATCTACTCCTCTTTATTGCTGAGTAGTATTCCATGATATGGATATACCAAAGTTTCTTTCCCCATTGAAGGACATTTGGGCAGTTTTCAATTTTTTGACTATTGCAACTAAAGCTATTACCGGCATTTGTGTACAGGTTTTTGCGTGGGCATACATTTTAATTTCTCTGGGATAAATGCCAAGGTGTACAATTGCTGGATTGTTTCATAAGTATATGCTTAGTTTTTTACCTGTCAAGCTATTTTTTGGAGTATCTTTATCATTTTACATTCCCACCAGCAATGTATGAGAGATCTTAATTTCTTCACATCCTCACCAGCATTTGGTATTTCACTATTTTTTTTCTCTTTTAAAATTTTTATTTATTTTTCCATAGAGATACAGGGTCTCATTATATTGCCCAGGCTGGTCTTGAACTTCTGGCCTCAAGTGATCCTCCCACCTCAGCCTCCCTAGTAGCTGGAACTATAGGCATGTGCCACCATGTCCAGCTAATTTTGTGTGTGTTTTTTGAAGAGATGGGTTTGCCATGGTACCCAGGCTAGTCCTGGGCTCAAGTGATCCACCTGCCTAGGCCTCCCAAAGTGTTAGGATTACAGGTGTGAGCCACAATGCCTGGATTCACTATTTTCTATTTTTTAACTATTCTAAAGGTTTTATATTTCATCATGTTTTAATATGAATTTCCCTAATAGCTAATGATGTTGAACATATTGTCATGTGTTTATTTGCCATGGATGTCATATATGAATATTCTCTTTGGAAAATGTCTGTTCATGTCTTTTGCTTGCTAGCTTTTTTTTTTTTTTTTTTTTTTTTTTAATGGAACACTTTATGAATTTGCCATGCCAGTCTTCTCTGTATCATTTCCATTTCAGTATGTGTGCTTTGGAGGCAAGCAGTTTGCTTTTTTTTTTTTTAAACCATTGAGTTTTGATAGTTCTTTCTGCATTCTAGATATTAGCCTAGATATTCTAGATATTAGTCCTTTGTCAAATGTATGGTTTGCAAATATCTACTCCCAGTCTGTACTTTGTCTTTTTATCCTGATAACAGAGTCTTTTGAAGAGCAAATGTTAAACATTTTGATGGAATCTAAATTACTGACTTCTCTTTTATTGACCATGCCTTTGGTGTCAAGTCTAAGAACTCTTCACTTGGCCCTAGGCCCCACAGTCTGTGTCTTAAATGCCACAACTGACAGCACTGGTGAAGATGCTCTTCTCACCCGCTTCCTCAGTTGCTCTAGCTTCGTCTCCTCCATATTTCTCCAACTCTTTAGGAAAGCATTAGCCATAGCTTTTTTTGATTTTTTTTGAAAAATCCATCCTACAGTCAGTCTTTCCAAAAATTTTTTAAATAACAAGAGATGTTTTAATCAATGAATCATGGTTTTTTCCTTCAACATTCTCTTCGGATGGTCATCTAAGAACAGGGATCGGAAACTCCCTACTTCCCCAAACAACCATTCTGATAGCTCTGTGAGTAAGAATGCCCACCCTTTATCATGGATTGATTTGCTCCCTGAAGCTGTGATCCTGGGCAAGCAGCAAGCAAGTTGAACCTCTCTTCTGAAGAACAGACTTTTAATATCTGAAAACCTTGGTTCTGCTCTTCTAGGGCCTCCTCTGCTCCAGGCCAAAAGTTCTAGGTCCTTCAGTTGTTCCTCATTAACGCAGTAGCTAGGTTAGCCATAGCCTTGGCTGTAAGTAACGAAGACCTAATTCGAAGTGCCTCAAACAGGCTGGGTGCACTGGCCTGTGCATCACAGCACTCCAGCCTGGGCAACAGAGTGAGACTGTCTCCAAAACCAAAAAACAAAGTGGGTCAAACAACAATGGGATTATTACTATCTTAGCTGACAAGGAGCCCAGAAGTTGGGTGGTCCGGTGGTTCCAGGGTTGATGGTTCAGTAGCTCAATGAAACCTTGAGGGCCCAGATTCTCTTACTTTCTGCTTTGCCACCCTGGTCAAGGTGGCTTTTGCTCTCAGACTTGTGTAGAGCTGCTCCACCAGCTCGCCAGGCAACACTCACAGGGAAACAGGAATAGCCATATGTCCTTGTCTGGGACCCTTTTTAATATGAGGAAGCCTTTCTTAGGAGTTTCCAAGCAGACTTCTCACATCTAATAGTCAAAATTGTATTCCAGTATACTTACCCTAAACCAAACCCTGGCAAGCGGAATGGAATGACCAGTCAAGATTCACTTCCTGGGCCAGGGGAAGAACTCAGCTTCCTCCCTTGCCCCTACACATTAGCAGCAAAAGGTCGGGGGTGGTACAGAAGCAGGGCTTGGTTGGCTAGAAAGAATGTGAGGAATGTCTACAGAGGTGACCTGTAGTGTTGGTCTCACACTGGTTTCAGGACCATTCTCACCTGATGGTTTCTCTATTTGGTTTTATCCCTCTTGAAATGGCGTGTTCATAACTGACTACTGAATAGACCAGGTGTGGTCTGACAAATGGTAGATGCTGGCACCTCCTTCATTTTAAATCTCTACTTTTGTTAATATAGCCAATAGTTGTACCCCACTGTTGCTAGCCTAGCTGAAACTTCCCAGGACTCCTCTGCTCTTTAGCCCCTGGGATTTTGGAGCTCCTACAGTCTGTGAAACTTGCTCCCCATGAGCTCACCCTGCCACACTCCTGCCATTGGCCTGCCTTCCTTCTGAATGGGGCTGGGGCAGAGGCAGCCCCTCCCCTGGTGCCAGGGCCAGTGTGATGGGAGGCTGTGAGGAGCTCTGGAGGGAGCACTGGCTGTGTGGCCAGACAGACCTGGCTTCCAGAACTATTGTGCCTCTTGCTGTGATCTGGGGCCCTTTGGGCCTCAGTTTCCACATTTGTAAAGGGAAATTATCCCTACCCAACAGAACTGGGATGAACAAAATTATTGTGAAAAAGTCTACCTGTCACCTTAGAGGCATTCAACTAGTGCAAGCTCTTTCCCACTCTTCCTCCTCACCCACACTAGTACCTTGGAGTTTGTGGAGGCTTCTTCTTTTCTTGAGGGCAGGGACTTGCTCTGTCACCCAGGCTGGAGTGCAGTGGCTACGTCATGGCTCACTGCAGCCTTGACCTCCTGGGCTCAAATGGTCCTTCTGCCTCAGCCTCCGGAGCAGCTAGGACTACAGACATGTGCCACCATGCTTGGCTAATTTTTAAATATTTTTATAGAGACAAGGTCTCGCTATGTTGCCCAGGCTGGTCTTGAACTCATTGGCTCAAGTGATCCTCCCGCCTTGGCCTCCCAAAGTGCTGGGATTATAGGTGTGAGCCACTGTGCCTGGCCTGTGGAGGCTTTTAAATCTCAAGATATGTGTGTCGCAGTGGCTCACGCCTGTAATCCCAGCACTTTGGGAGGCTGAGGCGGGTGGATCACAAGGTCAAGAGATCACAAGGTTTACTGGTCAACATGGTGAAATCCCATCACTACTAAAAATACAAAAATTAGCTGGGCATGGTGGCGCGTGCCTGTAGTCCCAGCTACTCGGGAGGCTGAGGCAGGAGAATCGCTTGAACCCAGGAGGCAGAGGTTGCGGTGAGCCGAGATCACGCCATTGCACTCCAGCCTGGGTAACAAGAGTGGAACTCCGTCCCCACCTCCCCCCAGAAAAAAAATGTGTGTCTTAAGTGACTAGCAGAGGAGATGAACCTGCTGACCTCCTGGCACAGAGAAGGCTCTTGACAGTGGGCTTTGGTCACAGAGATGGGCATTCTGATGAAAGTTTGTGCTTGGTCATATAGCTGGGCCGTGTTTGGCGGCATCACCTGCCTGGGCCCAGGATGGCACACAAGCCGGGTGGTGAGCTGGGTACACCACCATGACTCAGCATCATCTCAAAGGTTGAGTAATCTTTGAATGGCTTCTTCTGCCTGTGGTTGCCTTGGTGAATGGTACTCCTTGGTATAGATCTATGGTCAGGATGGAGTTACAAGGCACTATTTCTTTGACTGTCATTCTCTTATGAAACCCCTAGATCTCACTAACCCCAAACACTGAGTCTTTATTGAAACCAGAGAATGGGTACGAGACAGCGAT